GCGGAAGAGAAGTCGAAGGGGGACCCGCCGGCGGCAAATGTTTGCCAAGAGCAGGCCTTGGCCAAGGGGGGCGACTACGACCAGAAGGCGGCCCGCTCCCCGGGCGCGGCAGCGGGAGGAGGGGGGGAAGCAGGAGGAGGCAGGATGAGGAGGCAGGAGGCAGGAGGCAGGAGGAGGAGGGTGCTGGAAGGTGGAGGAGGAGGAGGAGGAGGAGGAGGAGGAGGAGGAGGAGGAGGAGGAGGAGGAGGAGGAGGAGGAGGAGCAGCAGCAGCAGCAGCAGCAGCAGCAGCACGGAAACCTCTGTGTGATTATGTTGATCGCCGCGAGATTCCGATGCGTTACAGCGCGAGCGAGGAGCTGGTTTAGGGCCGTGCGCCGTCGCATGCTGCTGATAAGATCTTCCCAGCATGGCTGGTCAGCACAACTTCATCAACGCATTTGGATGAATGATTCTTCTTCTCCTCCTACCCAACCGCCTTGGGGTGTATGTAAGCAATTCCTAGCCATAGGGGCGCACATGGTAGTTATCAGACCTTCTCGGATCTCCTGTGGGTGGTCGGTGCCATTTCCTTCCCTTCCTCTTCTTCTTCTTCTTCTTCTTCCTCTTCCTCCTGCTCCCTCTCCTTCTCCTCGCTCCTCTTTCGCTACCCCCTTTCTCATACGTCTATGCTTCACCCTTGTCGCACCACCTGATGTGTCGGTAGGCTGTTTGGGCGTTCCGCTTGAGACGCCCTTGCAATTCACTATCCGACTTCAAGCATGATACTAGAGGGCGCAGCAAAACCACCACGCGGATGGAGGGTCGGTCGATGCCGGTCGTTTTTTCAGAATGGAGTTGTTTCTTCAGCGCCGCGAGAGAGTTCGCCGTAGCGCGCGCACTCGCGGCAGAAGCCTGCAGCAGTCGCAAGGATGGAGGGCTGGCGGCTTTTTGAAAGTGAGATCCTCGCCCTGGCGCCACGCACGCTACGCACACCCAATGGGCTTCTCGATCCAAGATATCTGGGCGGACCTCCGAAAGTTTACAGATGCAGGGCCAGGAGAGGAGGAGGAGGCGTAGCGGGACCAGGAGGAGGAGGTGGAGGAGGACCCGGAGTAGGAGGGTGAGTAGGAGGAGGAGGAGGAGGAGGAGGAGGAGGAGGAGGAGGAGGAGGAGGAGGAGGAGGAGGAGGAGGAGGAGGGGGGAGGAGGAGGACCAGGAGGAGGACCCCTCAAGCAGCAAAAAGAGGAAGTTGTCAGAGCTTGCAGCGATGGCGGCCAGTTTGTTTGCCATCGGCGTTTCTCGTGTTAGACTTGCCGGATTTGTTCAAGGCCCGGAGTTCGAAACGCTGTGCAAAGTTACGCGGACTGTGGGCGGCTTAGTCTCTAATCTGGACTCTCGCCCTGTAGATTTCCGCAACAGTCTCGACCAGAAGGTGCAAGTGCGCAGCAGCTGCAAGGACGGAGGCATGGAGGGCAGATCTTTCTCCAGGATTGCATGTGCAGGAGACCACATGCGAACCCTGCCCCCACTCCCCACGAGTTCTGAGGGGGAGGGTGGGGTTCACTTCGCTCGAGAGCTCTCGAACGAAGTAAACCCCACCCTCCCCGTCAGAACTCGTGGGGAGTAGGGGTAATGGAGGATGGCGATTAATAAATGACTGGGGGTCGTGTTCACGCGGCGGCGCCCGGGATGACGATTAGAAAAAACCGGCCGCGGGCTGGAAAACTAGTTTTTTATCGTTCTCTTCCAGTCAGAAAATTGGGCAGAAATAGCAGGAAACTACGTTTTAAACGTTCTCTCCCATTTTTTGTATTAATCGTCATCCCGCATTACGGGTAGGGTTCGCATGTGGCCCCCTAATGTGATTTAAGCTCAACATCCTGCCCTGTTGCGTTCTTCTCGGTCGGAGGATCGAGGCCGAGCCATGTCTGCAAGGCCGGGTCTCGCCCGAGTGGCACGCCGCCCGTTCGCACGTCACTCGAGGGGGATGGGCTGGCGGGAGGCGCTGCCCGCAGTGCGGAGGCACGCACGTGGGGCGCGGGAAGGGGGTGGCGTGCAGCAGCATCGTTGATGCATGCAGTGTGGAGCGTGATGAAAAATGCCACCCCGCACCCACGAATGACGGATAGATCCAGCATCGCTCGAAACCTGTGTTTAGTCACGCGCGCGCCGGCGGTCCTCGCGGCCGACGATGGAGAGTGCACCGTCTGCACGGCAGCCTCAAAACAATTCTATTTCGTGTAGGAGTTATATTGGGGATTGTATTTATATATATATATATATATATATACATGTACCCAAGGGGATTGTCTCCCTCTGCGACTGATTATTAACGGGCCCGCAGTCCTCGTCGTCGTCGTCGTCCTCGGATTTCCCCCCCCCTCTTTGGCATCCGCAGCGCGTCGTCGTCCGTCGTCACTGTCGTCGTCGTCGACTACAACGGGCCTGCGCAGCACCACTCTTTGACAGTCATCGGGGATCTGGAGTGCGTCGTCGTCGTCGGCTACAGCGGGCCTGCGCAGCACCCCCACCTTCTCATGGGACACCCGCGGCGGCCGCGCGCGCGTCGTCGATCGCCCCGTCGTCGGTCCCATCGTCGTCGTAAATTCCACCAGACCTGCGCACCACCCCTCTTTGTATTGGATGGGGGAACGGGAAGGGGGCTGAGAAGGAAAAGGAGGAACCGCTACCGCCTGCCTCTGCCGCTTCTCCCTTCGTTTTTGTCTCCTGATTGTAGCCATGTCGCCCCGCCCGCCGGCTGTCACGTGCATGCCCCCCCCGCTTCTTGCTTCGCGCCTGACTGCGACGATTTCGGCCCGGCCGCCCCGGCGGTGTAGCGGATGCGCTGCTGCCCCCCCCCGCCGAAGCGGCGCCGCTCGCGTCGCGCTCGTCGCCCTCCAGCTGGTGGCCGCGACCTCGTCCACCGACCACGGCCCCCTCACGCACTGCCACGCTGCGCGGGATGGCCAACAGCCCGCTCTGCGCGCGCCGCGAGGTGCCAGCCGGACGGCGCAGCAAATCTCGGCTGCGCACCTTGAACTCTGTCTGGGCTCTATGGGAGCCGTCGCCACTGACGGCCACCAGGCCTGAGCCGCCGGCGCAGTTCTCGCTGTTGCCGCATTCGTCGTGGCGTCGCGCGCCCCCGTGCTCCTGCCAGCTAGTCGGCCCTGAGCTGGGAGGACACCCGCCACATGATCGCAGATGGAGTCGCGAAGGGCTGCGGCGATCGCACAGTGCCCCACTCCGTCTCCAGCGGGCACCGCAAGAGATATCACATCCCATACGCAGTCACCTTCCACTCTGTGGGCAAACTCACCGTGCTATCGGGCCGTGGGCGTCAGCTTGTGGAGGGCGGTGATCAGCAGTGACGTGTTTGACCGTCGTGCACCAGCCTGGCCTGGCCACAAACAACTTCCTCGTCCTCATCTTTCACCTGGAGGTCCCATGCGTGTTCTCACGTTGGCCAGGGTCGACGAGTTCATAACTATAAACATCTCCTTGTCTCGGCTGTGAGACTGGACGCGACAGGCGCTGTGTGGAAGTAGTCGTGATGCCGTTGGGAGTGGGAAGGGATGCGATGTGTAATTGGGTGCGTGTGCGTGCGTGTGCGATACCCGCGGCCTCCTACCTGTTCATCAGCGCGGGCCGCGCTCGGCGCTGGACGCCTCCGCGCTGGCCTGCGACACCCAGCCGCCCCACAGGGCCAGCGAGCGCGCCCGATAGGGCCGCGCGTGCGGCCATGCCTCTCCGGATGGCCGTCGCTGCGCCCAAGCGGCAGGCATCGTCCTAATCAGGAGCCGGCACCAGCCTACCACGACGCACGGGTCGGGCGCTGGCAGCGCTCGCTGGTGTTCAATCACGTTGGGACAACTACTGCGGGCGCTCTAGCCAGCAACGCAGCCGCAGCCCAGCGCTGGCGGTGCCCTTCGTCTCTCGGCATCAATTTCGTCCAAGGCTCGAGGTGTCGGCTAAGTCGCGTCCGCCCTCGTCCGCGCAGCGTCTGTTCCGCCGCCGCTGGAGGGCCGCCAAGAGAGCGACGGCCACATCGATACGGACCGCAAGCGCGTCGAGGACAGGGCCATCGATGTGGCTGTTCCCATCAATGTGGCCGTTCGCCCACTGTCAAACCAAAAACAGGCCGACGCCGTGGAGGTGGGCCCCTTTTATCTGGTCCCGGAACGTGTTCATGCTGCTGCCAGGGTCCCAGGCCCATTTCGTCTTGTACAACGACGGCCCGATGAACTACAAAGTGAGACTGGCACTTCGCGCACGAGGTGCGCCTTTTGTGCGGCTACGGCGTCGACCTGGACGTTCTCCCCGCGGTCGACGGTGAGGTCTTGCACCTCGAGGTCTTGCTCTTCGCGCAGCGGTTCGCTGCACAGTGGTCCCACACACTCACGCGGGACGTCGTCCAGCGAGCCGCCGCAACGGTGCCGTGGTGGCGAGGAGCCTGCGGCCAGGCTTTGGGCACGACCCCGAGGCGGTTGAGGACGGACCGCCTCGTGGGGGTGACGGGCGGCGCTCGTGGTCCGACCCGCGGAGCAAGCCGCCTCAACCGACCGGCCAACCACCAGAGTTCGATGATCGTCAGCGCTTTCGCGGCACTGCGAGAGCGCGCCGAGCTTTCGGCCCCAGGAGTTCGAATGCCGCCGCAGGACCAGCAGCCGCGCCCCGCTCGGAAGAGTGGCACGGCAAGGACGAGAAAACCAGCAAGGACAAGGGCCAGGGCAAGGACAAGGGCACTCCCGAGGCCGCGTCGCCCGCGCGGGCTTCTTCGACGAAAGTCAAGAGGACCCGGCGCGGCGGCCTCTAGTCCAAGCGGGCCCGCGACTCGGTCCGCGCACCCGCCCAGTCCGAGGCGTAGAAAACGGCGGCCGTGCAGTCGGCAGGTGAGGACGAAGCGTCCGCTATTGAGGATGCAGAGGGAGGCAATGCCGACCCGACGGACAGGGACTGAGCCCTGGCGGGTGAGGCGCAGTGTGGACCAGCCGCGCGCCATCAAGAAGTCCACATCCTTCACCGCTCCCGCCTACCCGTCTAAGGCCACTCCGTTTCCGCTCACAACAAGATATCCCACCATCGGTCCCGTTGGGGCCGCCCCCGGGGGAATTTGGGTATGTGAGGTAGTCCGCGGACATGAAATGATCAGTGGTAGAGGCGATTAGGCTAGGAGGGAAGGGGGAGGGCTGGTACACCTGGGGGGCACAGGAGGTAAGTATGCGTGGTGGGACGGTGTATCACTTCATGTATATCCCGAGTGCAATTTTTCTCCACCCCAACCCGTCGCATCGTTGCCGCTCCTCTTCTCTCTCTCGCAGCCTGATCTCCCCCTTGGTTGGCAATTCACTTCGAGCCCCCCCCCTGTTAAAGCATCGATGCGTCATTGCTTTGGCGGCGTTCGGGCCTCGCCACGTCGCTTCCTGCGTTCACGTCCCCCCTCCTCCCCTTTTGGCGGAGCGGTGGGGTTCGAGCCGCGCGCCTGGCGCTCCGCGCCGCCCTGGCCCGCCCGCTGGCTCGAGGGATGGCTGCGCTCGCTGCGCCGGCTGCTGCTGCTGCTGCCAAGCAGCAGAAGGTCAACCCCGACCTCAAGCGCCTCTGCACGCTCTTGGTTGGAAAGGCTCGCCTTTCAAATCAAGGGGGTCGGAGGAAGAGAGGAGCGGGGGGGTTGGCGGGGGAGCGGTGGATAGGGCGGGTCAGGAAGGAGGCGGGGGGGGGGGGCAACGAGGAGGAGGAGGAGAGCCGACCCAATCCTGCACCCATGAGCCCTTCTCCCCTGCATCCCGCCCCAGACCTACGAGCACGAGGGCCTGGCGGCGGAGGTGAAGTACAAGCAGCTGGGCAAGATCGCAGCGATCGCCCACGCGTGCTTGAAGGCGGGCTCGCGCTACCCTTTTCTCGGAGGGGGTAGAACGAGGGGGGGGGTGAAGAGGAGGAGAAGGAGAGAGTGGGAGGGTTGGAGGAAGGGGGGGGGAGAGGGGGGGAGGAGGAGGAGAAGAGGAAGGAGCAGGGGGAGAATGATAAGGATGAGAAGAAGGAGGAGGGGCGGGGGGAACCCCTGGGCGCCGACTGCCAACGGCGCAGGTGAGGAGGAGGGAGTGCCCCCAATTGGTCCCCATCCCTCCCTTCAGCGTCAAGGGGGGGATGGCGGGCGCGCCGAAGCGCACCCATGAGGAGGATGGGGGGGAGGAACATGTTTCCTCCCGTTTCCAGGCTCCCTCCATTTCCTCCTTCGCGCCGTGCTCCCCGTGCGTTCCCGCCCCTCACAGCCCAAATCTAAGGGGGCTTGGGGAGCGGGAACAGACGGGGGGCATGGCGCGAAGGATTGGGGTGTCCTCAGCGTCCTCCCAACCCTCCTTCAATTTCTCCGTGATCCCCCCATCCTGCTCCCCCCGTCCTTCTTCTCTTCCTGCTCCTCCTTCTCCTCGCCCCATTCGTTCTCCCCCCCTTTCCTCCTCCCCCCCTTGTTCCTCCTCATTCATCCCGTGCCCCCCCCGTCCTCCTCCCTCTCCTCCTCCCCTCCCCCTCCCCCCCCTTCCTCCTCCCCCTCCTGATCCCCCGACTCCGAAGCCCGCCTCCACCCGCCCGAGGCCCCCGAGAAGATCGACGCGCTAGAGGCGTTGTCGTCGCGCCCGCTCTCCGAGATCATGGGCGACTCGCAGAAGAAATTCAAGAAGCTAGAGCAGGTGGCGGCGAACCTCAATGAGGCGGGGTCGTTCTCGAACGTCACGCACGTTGCAGACATCCCGCCCGCTTGGTTCTTCGCCCTCTTCGAGAAGGCGCAGGGCCGCCCCGTCCCCCAGTGGCAGCAGACTGCTATCTGCGCCACGTCGGGGCTCATGATGAAGCAAATCGTGCACTACTTGCTCGGACCGCTCCGCTGCCTTTTAGGAAGGGGAGCGGTAAGATATGAGGGGGGAGAGGGGGGGGGAGTGCAGGGGTGGTTGAGGGACGTGGCGCGCGACGCGCACCTGGAAGGGAGGACAGGGGGGCGTGGTGGGGGGGGGCGCGGCGGGGGCGGTGGTAAGGGGGGAGGGGTCCTCCTCCTCCTCCTCCTCCTCCTCCTCCTCCTCCCCTCCCCCTCCGCCTCCTCCTCCTCCTCCTCCCCCTCCCCCCCCCTCCATCCATTTCCTCCTCCTCCTCCTCCTCATCCTCCCCCTCCTCCCCCCCGTTGTCGTCGTCGCCGTCCTCCTTCCCTTCCAGTTCGTGCATCCGCTCGCCTTCCAACTTTCTCCTCGTGTAGTCTCCAGTTTTCCTCCCGAGGTGTTTTCTCTTTCCCGATTTATGTGCCACCCATCCCTCCCGATTGTAGTCTCACCCTCCCTCCCACCCTCCCTCCCTCCGATTGTTTCCCCTTCCCTTCCCCCCCTCCCCCCCTCCCGATTGCGTGCGCCCCGATCGCATTTTGCCCACCCGATTGTCCCCCCCCCTCTTCCCGCGTCGTCCCCGACTCGGCTGCGGCCGAGGAACACCGCCGAATTTGAAGGTCGACGGCGCGCTCCAGAAGAAAGATGTGTGCGCCAGGTGGATGCTCGGGCTCATCAGAGACAGGGGCCTCCTCACCAAGGAGGGCGGTTTCTTCGAGAAGAGCGTCACCGAGATCGGCGTGACGTGGAAGGCGCCGCACTGCGTCTACCACCACACCGTCGACGACAGCGGCGACGAGGAGGCGGGGCGGGATGCGAATAGGAGCTCGCGGTGGAGGTAGGAGGACGCGCGGAGGAGAGGTGCGCTTTGGGGGAGTGGAGGTGGGCGCGCGGGCACGGAGGGCACGTGCAGGGCGAGCGGCATGGGGGTCGGGGGGGCTGGGCGACGGCGGTTCTCGCGTGGGGGGTGGCGGGGGTGCAATTTCGGGGGATGTCGGTCGCGGGTGGTTTGTTTTTTTTTGGGCGGGGGGGTCCACGACGATGATCGGGCGTGCCTGAGTGGGGCGAGGGCGGAGGAGGCACTGACGGCGGCGCAGCAGCGGCGGTGACGGTCGCGCTCGTGGGAGGCGGGTGGGGGGTTGCCCCGTCGGGCGCGGGTGGCAGCCCAGGTGCACTATCTCGAGGACCTCGTCAACAAGGTGAAGAGGAAGTTGGCCGAGCCTTTGCCCAAAGGCAGCGCCGCTTGCCCCTTCTCCGTCGCCCCTCTCGCACGGCGCGACGTCGTTGTTGCGTCGCCGCTCGCGTCGCAGTTTGTTCGGGCTTCTGGCAGGTAGGCGTCGACGTGCGATTTCGGCATCCACCAGCCCGTCCAGACACGTGCGGCTGCTGTCGCCGCCAGCGCGTTTGCGCGTTGTGCCCCTTCCCTCCTGGCCTCCCCTCGCAGCTCTCTGCACCGATGCCGTCGGGAGCTTAGTGGGTGGGTCTGGCGTGGGGCATGTGCCATCAAGAGTCGGCATTGTCATTGCATGGCATTGTTACCGTGGTCTATCTCGCCCGAACGTCGTCGCGGGTCCCTTTGGGGCCTTGCTCGCTCCATCGATCATCGGCTGGTGCTGCGCCGCCCATCGTCATCTACCACGTCCGTAGACGTTTTGGCTCCCGTCAGGGTCCAAGGCTCATCTTCACGTGCACGCCCGCAGCGCGCCCAGCGTTGCACCAGTCTCAGCGTTCGCGGCGCCATGGCCGATGGTCAGCAGCAGGAGCTCCCGCGCACGCCGTTCGAGAGGACCCTCTTGCGGAAGACCGAGTACCAGGCGCGCGAGCTCACCGTCTTGCGCACTGAGCTCCGCCGCCGCAAGACGCTCATCGAACGTGCTGCTGGGCAGATGACCAAGATTGCGGCCAAGCTGATCAACGGCATCTCGAAGCAGGTCGTGGGCAAGGCTAAGAGCGAGACCTACCACAAGATCCGCATCGCGAAGGAGGAGAGGCAGGAGGCCCATCGCCAGGATGCGAACACGAGGATTCGCCGCTTGCGTGAGGAACGTGATGACGGCGAGTCCATTGCCAAAGAGGCCCCGCCAGCGCGCAAGCGCAAGTGTGGTGAGACTGACGGCCCGTTGCCAGGGCATTGGATCGAGCCATCCGCTCGCGTCCCTGACCCGCACGCGGCCGCCGACGACGATGACGACTCCTTCAATTCGGGCAGCAGCAGCAGCGAGGCGAGTGACGGCCCCGACGCCATGGCTGAATCGCCGCCGTACCAGATCTGAGCGCAGCCATGCCAGCGTTTGCAGGCGGTCCGCGCACGCTGCCTTTCCGCGGGATCGCGGATTTGTCGGGCGGGGTGGGCTTTGGGGCGGTTGATGTTATTCGGACTGGGATGGATGGAGGGGGTCGGATCCGGATGGAGGGAGGGAGGGGGGTCATCGCGCGCGCCGCCCCCCCCCCCACGCACCAGCGAGCAATCCAATGGCACGGGAGGGCGCTCGGGCAGCGTGATATGTCGCATGAGGGGTCGAAGTTGGGTGGTGGGTGGTGGGGGAGGTACGTCCACGCAGCACGTGCATGCTGAGGGTTGTTTCAGAATTCGGCGAGGGACTCGACGTGCGCGCCGCGTTGGACGGGCGGTAGGACGGGTGGGCTAGAACGGATTGGGCGGATGGTGCATGGATGCGCGCGCATGCGCGCGCGGGCAGGAAGGACGGGGTGGCGGTTCGGGTGCGACGGAGGCAGAGTGGCCCATGCGAGGTGGATCGGGTGCGTCGCAGCACGCATCCTTCCACGCTGCAGTTAGGCAGAGAGCGCGCCAGCTTGCACTGGCCATTATACCTGGTCGAATTCGGGCGTCGGGATGCGACGACCCGAGCTTTCAAGGCGGAGTTCCCAGTCGCCAGCTTGAAAATGTCAGCACCCGTGTCGCGTCCTTCTCTGCCGAGCCCCATCGACCCTGCTCCCGCCCCTTCCTCTCGTCGTCGGCAAGCCGTCGCAGCCGAGTCGGTCGGAGTTCGAGCGGCAGCGACGTTGAATGCGACGGCGGTTAGTTCGACGATGGCGGCAGCGACGCCCGCGATGAGGACGGCGCTATTGCGCGAGGCCCGTTCCGATTCAAGTGTCGACTGTGCTCGCAGATTTGCACCCCTTGCATTCACCCCGCCACTGTTGTTGGAGATATCGAGTCGTCGTGTCGTAGTTCGTCTGTTCTCGAGGGCCATGCGTTGGCGCATTCCATGTCGCGCGCTGGTTGCGTTTGGCGCTCGCGCGTCGTGAGGCGTTGGGCCCCGCGTCAGTAGCCGTGCCACCCCCGACGCCGCGTGCGTGCAGCATGTCGTGCTACCATGCCGAAGCGAAGTTCACCCGCGTGAGACGGTGAGAGAGGGGCGGGGCGGCGTGGGTGCACTTGCTCAGCGTTGTTCAGCCTTTCTCCTCTTCGTGCCAGCCTGTGTGCGTGTGCAGTTGCGTTCTCTCGTGCACGCAGTCGTTTGCCTTGCCGCCCATCGTTTTGTTGTAATGCCAGCTGCGCGCGGCGTCATGTCGCATTTCACGCTACTGGGGCCAGCTTTGGCGCGCTGAGGGCATCTACGTACATATGTTTTCGTGCCCGTGATCGGCGTTTGCGTGTCCGTGGTGCATTGTTTGACCGCTTGATGTGTTGCATCGCGTCGCGCGCATGCCCCCCCCCTCCCCTCGCCGCGGTTGCCAGGCCGCGACATCGAGCTGAACTACAGCCACCAGACGGCGTACATCATCAGCATGGGCAGCAAGACGCCGATCAACAGGCTGTTCCAGTTCGCCGCCACGGGCAAGGCCAGTGGCAAGATCGTCACCGAGTTGAGCATCGCGCAGCAGAAGGCTCAGTAGTTCTTGGAAGGCCAGGTCCAGCACATCAAGGCAGCGGAGGTCACGGTCAGCCTTGCCAACGCCCAGGCTTGCAAGCGCAGGCGCGTGTCCACGACGGGTGGCCCCCTTGCCGCTGCCATTGCGGCGCCCGCGGGGGTGAGGTCGTCGGCTGCGTCGTCTGGGGCGCCACGCTCGGCCGTTGAGGACCCCACAGAGCCACGGGAGGGCTGATTGCAGGCTCGGCGTATCTTCCGAGCCACGTTCCTTTCGGGGGTCGCGCCGAGCGTTGCTTCGAAGCTGGTGGTGCCAGGTAGGCGCCGACGGGCGACGAGGGATTCGTGGCTTGAGCGTGGGAGGCAAGCCATCGCGACCAGGGGTGGTTTAGATGCTTGTGTAGGGTGGTCATGCGCCGCCGCCAATCCCCACCCCTTTCACCAGGTTGAATGCGTTGTCTTGGTCGTTTCCGCGCGGGGCGGGGCGGGGTGAGGTGGGGGCGTGAGGTCGGGATGGGGGGTCGCCTCCGTCTTTTCGGATTCGGCCCTCCAGTGCTTGCCGCCCCTGGCATCAGCTCGATCTTCGGAGCCCCTGGGGGCTGGCCCTGCTCTCCCTCCGCCCCCTCGCCCCCCCGCGTCGCAGTATATCTCGCTTCCCTGTCCCATCCCAATGCATCATCGCTGTCCCTTTTTGCGTCGGGCCCAATCGTTGGCCCATCGCGCCCCCCCCCCCCCCCATGGTCGACGTCGGTTCCCCCCGAACGCACCCACCAAATTCCCAGGATAGAGGGTGATTGGTCGGCATGCGCTTCGCACTCCCCCTCCGTCTTCTGTTCAGGCTGCGCTTGGGAGCGCAGCGCTCGCGCGAGCGCGGGCATTGGCGGCCCGCGGACGGCGCGACCTCTTGCAGTTCGGAAAGTTGCGGCTTTGGGAAATCACGCCTGTCATCCGTATCAACCCAGCCTTCAGGATTTCCTTGTCTCAGGGTTGCAGTGCCCATGTGCGCGGCGCCGTGCCGTCGGGCTCTTCTAGGTCACCATGTGGCGTTTCGTCTGCGACCCGAGCCGTTGAAGTGATGCCGTCATCTCACGCTCGTCCGACGTGATTTCGTGCTGTGTGGCTCCGCCTGTGGATAGCGCACCTACCCTCGCATTTAGAGCGTGCGTGGTCATTCGTCTTGCAGGCCCTCGAAGGGCGACCGCTTCTCGTGGGGCATTTTGTTGCATCCCCCTGGGGGCGCGAAGGTAAGCGTGCATTGCGCACCGTGGCCTGGGCTAAGCGGGGGCGCCCAGTCTGGCGGCCCCTGTCGCTGGGGATGGGGGAGGGGGGGGGGGGGGGGCGGCGCGAGCGCGAGGTCATTCGCGGTTGCTGGGCTCGGGGCCAGGCTGCGGCGCGAAGGTGATCGCGCATCGCGGCACGCAGTGCTCGAAATCACGTGCCCCAGATCATCCCTCCCCCCCCGCCCCCGTCGTTCCGCAGGGGGTTAGGGGGGCGCGGTAGCAGCCGTTTCGGCCCTGGGGTTTTCAGGATGTTGAGGTGTCGCGTGGGCGACTTCGCTATACATCTGGATGAGCGCGGGCCAGGGGAGATGGTCCAGGTGCTGCTCAACCGCATCACGCTCGAGAGCGTGGACTTGCCGCCCGACAGGGACGCGCGCCCTACCCACGCGCGCACACGCGCTCCCCAGTCATCGCCTATAATTCCTCCATGTGGCTTCGTCGGGGCGCTTTGCGGTCCTCGGTCCGAACAGCGGTTTATGCATCCCTGGCCCTCAAGCGCGCATCCCCACCAGCCCATCCAGAAACGATGCCCAGGAGAGCTGACGGAAGTCGCGAGGAATCGACGGTCATGCTGAACTAGCGTGGGCAACAACGGTGATGTGAGATCTCTGGTAGCGAATGGTACGGGTGCTGCTGTTGGTGATGTTGCTGCCGCTGGAACTGCTGGTGGTGATGGTGGTGGCGGTGCTTCTGCTGCTGCTGGCGCTGCTGCTGGCGTTGTTGGTTCTCGCGCGGTCGGTGCTGCTGCAGGTGCTGCTGCTGGTGCCGTTGTTCCTGTTTGTGGTGGTGGTGATGCTGCTGATGCTGCTGGCGTTGCTGGTGTTCGCGGTGCCTGGCCGTGGCGACGAGGATGCCCCCCCCCCCCGAATGCCAACCTCGAGGCTCGGGTTTAGCTAGACGGCTACGTGGCTTCGCGCACTGAAGTTGAAGATGGAAGCCAGTGCAAGATACGGCGTGGCGTTCCCTGTAGTTAACCTCTCTGGCGCAGGTTAGAGTAACATGCCGATGAGCGTTTCATTTTAGCCTTCGCACCGATTTGTATCTCAAGTTCGCGTGCGACTGCTGGTGTTGGTGCTGCTTCTGGCGGCGGTGGTGGTGGTGCTGCTGCTGTTGCTGATGCTTGTGGTGCTCCTGCTTGTGGTGGTGCTGCAGCTGGGGCCACCTTGGGGGTGGAGGAAGAGGATGGGGAAGATGAGGATAAGAACGAGGACGAGGACGAGG